CTCTCTCTCTCTCTCTCTCTCACAAAGTCGCAAACCCACCCGCCGCGACTGATCCTCCGTGGAAAACGCAATATGACATATTACGATTCACCATGGCAGTACCACCGAACCGATCGCGATCGACTTCAATCGACTCTGCCTGTGAGCGTTGACGTTAATAAACACTGACCAGTGCTAACCAATCTTGCCAGCACTCGTAAGCACTCGCCAGCCACTCGCCAACACTACCGGGACTACTCAGGCAGGGTCTGGGTGACTTCGGGGTGCTCCGGAGTCCGGGTCCGGGGATAGCTCGACACGCTCGACGGTCGACACCGTCGACGCCACTGACACCGACCGTACCGACCGTACGCTCTCGGAAACTGTAAAAGACCGAAGAGACCGAAACTCCTTCGGTATAACGTTACGAATATCTCTGTGCTATGATTTTATCGGTTGACAAGTTTGGAAGCAAACGGAATGTAGCCATGTAGTTCCCAAACCGAAAATGGATGTACTGGCGGTAGTGTACGGCCCTGGGTAAAGTCACTAGATTTATTAAGTACCGCAATCCATTATGCGGGGTCTATAATAGAAGTCGTAGCGGTCGTAAGGTCTTAAGTCGTAGAAAATTGACTAATCACAGTCGAATATGAGAAGAATAATCAACTGTGATTGGTCAATTTTCTACGACTTAAGATCATACGACCGCTACGACTTCTATTGTAGACCCCGCATAAGACTCAATAGGTCTGTTTGCGTTGCTTGCACTTTTGGCACTCGGCATCTTCGCTTTCTCTCTTTTCAAGGCCAAATATATATCTATCTCATTTTAAGTGCAAAAATATTTGGGGATTTCATATAACGCGAACAGACCTAATGTACAATGGCTGCGTTCAGCAGACTCAACAGTTTTGCAACCGTTTTATGATTGTCTGCTGAGATAGGACCATTCTTCTAGATCTAAAAGTATGATCCAATTAGCGCGAAGGAAACTTCCAACAGTTGCAAAACAAACGTTCTGCTGAACGCAGCCAAGGATTTGGAGCCAAAATGACGTCGAAAAGTGTAAATAGTACTTTTTCGTAACGTATATCTACACATTAAGTGCAATGTATCTAACCTAAGATCTGTTGTGTAATGGTGTAATCTGAGATCTGAGAAATATTTATGAAATAAAACGTATAACTGATTGCAGAAATGATCCAAATAATAATCAAAGTTTTTTCATTAGATTAAGAGAATTTAAGGATAATGTTTTAATATTTCCAAGCATAGAAATATATAACATTGTATACAAATGTGAATTATTATTTAGAAGAAATGAACATAACTTTATCTCTAATAAGTTAAAACCTATAGAGTTTGTACAAATGTTTTTAAATAATTGTTACACAGACTTTGTACCATCTTGCCACAATATTGTTTATAAACTTATTGGCTGCGTTCAGCAGAACGTTCGTTTTGCAACTGTTGGAAGTTTCTTTCGAGCTGATTGGATCATACTTTTAGATCTAGAAGAATGGTCCTATCTCAGCAGACAATCATAAAACGATTGCAAAACTGTTGAGTCTGCTGAACGCAGCTATTAAAACATTTGTTATAGCATGCATCCACTTTACTAAAAAAGGAAAATATTGATATTATTACGGAATCAAATATACATAGTAGTAGAAGCGTTGCTATGAAATCGTATGTAAACAAAAACAATCGTAAATAAAAACACTGATTAATATAATTTATGATTTTCCTTTTTACTTACAAAATACATTCATACCACCGACGACTGACGAGATACTATTAAAGACCGTCAACCCTGGGCAAATTTTCGGCGGTATAAAAAGGGCCCCAAGGGCCCGGAGGTAATCGAAGAACGCTGACATTATCGACAATTGATATAAATTTGCTATTATTAACATAAATATTTGACTAATACATTATTAAATTCATGATATTTTATTACATAAATGCTCTATAAATAAATATGCATATTTGTAAAGCTATAATATCCTATATATTGCCGAAAAATTACAATTTTTTTCTCTGCAGTTATTATCTCTGTTGATAATCGAACTTTGACGATAACACTGAAATCACAATTTTAAAGAAAAATCGAGTATTATTGGGTTTTAAATGCACGTACACCGATAAACACGTCTACTAAACTATTAAAACTCATAAAATTAGTACAATATTATCAGTTTTTTTACTCTTAATCATTTCAATATTAACAAGGACGCGAACTCCCATAAGAATGTCGGTCTTTAATAATATCTCGTCGGTGTTCATACACATATGCATACGTTTTGAATGAGCCGCTTGTTGGAGCCAAAATGGTGGAATGATTGCGGTACTTTATAAATCTAGTGACTTTAGTCCTGGGTTTCTCTCGTTTCTCTCTATCCGAAACTAAACAATCGGCATTTTGCATACGAACCGAACTTGTTGATATTTACCTGTATTTATCTGGCTACTATGAACTGGTACCGTTATAATTTTATCTTACCGTTATAATTTTATCTTTGACATGACAAATTTTATGTTGTGATTCTTTTGTCACGCGCGTATAACGCGCAGTAACGCGTCGAGGATGCGATAAAGGTCGCTTTCTCGAAGAAACGAAGCGGCAATAAATTGAGTCGAAAACCCAAACAGGGGAGAATTTCAAGAAGAAGAAGAATTGGCAATAATACGGGAATACACAAATATATCAAGAGAAGGAATATCAACGATCCTGCATCGCTTCTCGAAATGTCGCAACAAAGTGCTATCGTCCAGACAACGACACCGACTACGACGGTCTCGGAAATGACGCCGGTACTTGGAACTCTACAGTCCGTGGGACCTAATAACCAGACGTCATCGGTTCTGCCTAACGTGCAAAGCGGCACTACGACAACCGCTGTACAGCCACAAACGCAATCTCAACAAACTCAGTACGTTCCCCAACCTCCAAAACCGGTGCAGCAGTCATCCACTCCAAGTTCTTTTAGCGATTTTCCACAAGTACGTAATCAATAAGAAAATGAACCTTGAGTAGGTTACTTGTATACGATACGCTTGAGATATCTTTTTTTAAATTACAAATATAACATTGTACCGAGTCTGTGTACAAGTTCTTTGTTCGACACGATCTATAATTTACTGTTTTTCTTCTTTGACCATGGATATTCTTTGATAAAATTTTCCTCCATTAACATAACATAGATACTACTATTTGATTTTAGTTTTTAACAAAAACGAGGCTACAAGATTTGGTAAGAGAAGTGGATCCCACTGAACAGTTGGATGAAGAAGTAGAAGAGATGCTTTTACAATTAGCAGATGACTTTGTGGAAACAACGGTAAACGCAGCTTGTCTGTTAGCTAAACATCGTCATGCAAACACAGTGGAAGTTAAAGATGTACAATTACATTTAGGTGAGTTATGCTAATAGTTATAATTTTTTTCATTTGTTAGGAAAAAAAGATTAATTTATTAAAAATACATAATAAATTTCCTTTATATACAAGTTACAGCAGAATAATTTGTTACTTTTTTATTTTACTTGCTGAAAAACTTTTAATATTATTAAACTTTATTCAAATTCAAAGTAAAAAAGCAGAAAATATTGCTTACATGTGCACTTTATACATTGAACCAAGCAAATTTCTAGCATTATAAAACTTGTAAATGCAACTTGAAAGTTTTATTTGTATGATAAATTATGCAAAAAAAAATATATATATATATGAATGCTATTTATGGTATTTTAATTTTTAGGAAGAAATTGGAATATGTGGATTCCTGGTTTTGGTACGGATGAAGTACGTCCATATAAGCGAGCTACTGTCACTGAAGCACATAAACAAAGATTGGCGCTTATACGAAAGTCTATCAAGAAATATTAATTCTTTTGTGAATTAATTTTTTAGTTTTGAAAATTAAAAACTTGTATTTTATATATTTTTAATAGTCTTAACTATTATGCTGCTATAGTCTTGTGACAAAAATATTCATCCTGTATATAATTTTTCCTTTTCATACACATATCAGTTGTTTCTCTTTTCAATACTATTTTACTGTAATACAGACGATAAAAGTAGGTTAGGTGTAAAAACTGTAAATTTCTTCAAATTTATGCTATAAATATATATAAATATTTCTGTATGTACAAATGACTACCAAAATATTCCCAATATATGTAAATAAGTAATGTATTATTGATTCTATTTTTTTTAAATATTCTACATATATATGTACAGAAAACTACATGATAATTTTCAAAGCTGGGAAATTATCAACTGTTTTTGCACTGTTCTATCTCTCTTTTGAAATTGAATAACGTTGATTGTGTTACTTTTTTATATATTCAAATGTGACGGAAATATCTGTTTTGCTCTGAATACCACCCTTTGTACAAGGACGAAAAAACTGAAATATACGTTTTTTTGCATAATACTATTTAAAAATGCAGAGAATATATTGTAAATTATATAGAAACCATCTTATACAGATATTACACGAATAAGGCGAAAAACAGCGATCATTCACTCGCAATATATAAACATCATACAAATATATTATAAAGAAAACGTTTGCAAGCAGATTTCACATGTAGCACGTATTAAAAATATATAATCTGTTCACACATACGCCTATATATATATCATTATACATATGCGTTATAATTCAAATAGTACTGACAATATATTTTCAGATCGCATTGATTCTTTTTAATTTTTCATTATAATTATTAGATATATCGTCTATAATATATTCATCGATTCTCAAAATGTTTCTCGAAATGTTTTTATTCTCTGTACACGAAAAGTTCCGAGAAAAATCCGCTTAGAAGTTGAGATCTTTTCCTGATTCTCAAGTTGTAAATATTGTGAAACAGTTAATAAAAATTCGAACATTTTGCAAGGGCAGCTACTGCTAATCGCACTTAAAACGATCCATCAGAACAATCCCATATCTTTCTTGAGATTCACTTGTTTCCAGACTGGAAGCTGTTGAAATTCTTCTTTACTCATTCCCAGCAACTCCTATAAATTATGAAATATCACACCACACACACACACACACACACACATATATACATATATATAATGTTAAAAACATTCTGTCCGACATCTGCTAATCTATATTCGTAGATTAATCGTCGACTACATGATTATGCAATTGCGATTAATCAATCGATAATACCAACTTGAAAGTGTTGTTGGGATAAATACAATTCTAGGCATGTTGGATCGACACCGTCAGGTAAAGGTCTTTGTAACAGCTGGGCAGGAGGATATGTACTTTGCGTTAGACGAGCCAATTCATTTTCCACAGTCAATACTTCTCCTGAATTCCGGCCATCCTAGTAATATGTTTAATAAATATACATTACATTTTGCATCAACATATTGGTCAGTATGTCGGCTATTTTATAAATGTAATACCTACTACAGGACGCATTACATTTATAAAACGTAATCAATCGATCAATTGTAAAGATGTAATCAATCGATTAATTTTATAAATGTAATACCTGTTAGGAAGGGTATCACATTTATAAAATAATCCGACATACTAACCAATATGTTGATGCAACACACAGTACATACTTAATTTTATTGAAATATAGTAAAAAACACGCATGACCAAGATGTATCAAACAGAATTTTTTTATTTATCTAAAATATAAGTAAAGATAGGACAGTTATTATTTTGAAGTTAGATCTTTTGTTTCTCTAATAATAAACTATATAAAAAGTATAAAAAAGTTTGAACAGTAAAGAAAATAAGATGTCCTTTTCTCAATATACCTCTATATTTAATTCAGCGACGTCATCTCGATACGTCCACTCCGGAAAAAGATTTGTAAATTGCAACGGTTCTAAACCAGCCCATATTAAATATATTGGAAGATTCGTTGTTTGTGCGTTTCGAGTCTCTCGCCAATATCGTATCGCTATCTTCATGGCTGCTCTTCTCTCAGCCTGCCATCGGACAGTTTTGCTTCCAGACTGATCTTCCGTTCCACTATCAGGCCACCATCCTTGCCAAATCCAAATCACATTCTTGTCATCCAATAAAAATAAGGCTAAAAGTTATATAAGAGTCAATAAAAGTATTTATAACGGATAAATAATTTTGCTAAAAACTTCTCATAAAAATTTTTCTCATGAAAAATCGATTAAAATAACGACTAAATAAGAATAAAAGGCACTTTGCAAAAGCACCATTACCTGGTTGATTTGCTTGATACAAATCATCTTGTGAGAAAGGAAACGGTGTTGGCAGGTCCGCACGATATGGACAAAGTGTTTCTGTTGCGCGGAATTTTTTAGAAACACTAGATAAATGATAAAGCTTTGGAGTATGATCTTGTATTTCAGCTGTTTCCAACGACCAATACAATTTTTTATTTATGCCACCTAATGCTAAAAAATGCAAAGTACAATCTCGACTTTTTCATGACAATATACAATAGAATAAATTTAAGAGAATATGTATACGTTCTATATTCAGCTTAAATGTAAACTTTTCATTAAGCTTTACTCACCATTGCTAAATTCCTCAGATTCCATACCTTCTTGAACTTCACATATTTCTATGTTATTTTTATTTGATAATTCAATTTCTTCAGGTCGATTTTCTTTCAATTTATTTGCAGCTTTTAACGCATTCTATAGAAAAGACAGGAGAAACAGTAAATATTGGAGAAACAAACGAAACAAAGAAATACAGAGATGATAAAAAGAGATAAATAAAAAATAGATAAATAAGGAAAGAAAACAATCAAGATGAGAAAGGAAACGAGAAAAAAAGTTATAAGAAAAAATCATGATTATTCCAATCTGTTAAACAGCAGATGAGAGTAATATGATTAAAACATTTTGAAATAATAATTTTATATTATTAAAATGTTTTCTAATTGCTCGATTAATCGATTCGTTTACTGCTTTTGTTTTTTATATATTGGTTTTCTTTTGCATGTAGTACAAATCCAGCAGCTAGTAAAGTATAAAATTTATCGCAATGTTAATCTCTTTATCCATGTATGTACAACCGGTCATAAAAAGATTACAACACTTTTGTTTTGATGGGTTTCGGAATGCAGCTTGCTGATCGAGTGATTGGTTCTTATTTATGGATCTAACCATTTACATTCAATCGCTCTATAAGCAAGGCTGAGTTCCGAAATCTAAAAATGTATTACAACCTTTCTGTAACCGGCTGTACATATATCAATTAAATTATATATAAATATATATCAATTATATATATATTATTATTATAAAAATTTGTAAGAAATATACTTCTCTAATATGACGCAATGAATTGCTTCCATGCCAGATATATAGTTTTGCATTTTCGGTGTTTAGCAATATGAAGGAACCTCTACTTCTTAATTGTCGAGTACTACAAGGGATTTCAATCAAGAATGTCTCAGTCTCTAAAGTTCCTCGGCAAATATACAACCTCCATCGTTTCTCACATTTTTTCTCAGATTTCTTGCCACTGTGCACTACCATCCTCCCAGAGAATAAATTTAAAAACGCAGCTGGTTCGTGTCCTTGAACAACATGAACCTGCAAGTAATATATATATATATGTATACACAATAAAACAAAATATTGTTTTATTTACAATTATATAATAATAAAATATATTTCTTGATATTTTGTCTAATATTTTATTTTTAGTAGATATTAAGTAAGAAATTTTTTCCACTTAGAAAACAATTTCAAAATTGGAATAAAATTACAATTGGAATAAAATAACAATTATGTAATAATGTAACCAGTATTCGAAGATAACAAATAAACACATTAAGATAAATTCGAGCAAATAAAATAACTGTAATAGCAAATTTGATTGCACATTACTGTCCTCACCTGAGGACCTCGATTGCTGTCTAATTCGATCGTTAATAATGCCGCGGCCCCTCGTTCATTCAAAGATGCATTTCGACCTTGCCAAATAAAGTATACAGATCTATCGCGACCTTTTGCTGAGTGTTTAGATGGTAAACCACTGAGTTCTCTACCTAAGAGCATAATAAACAAATTTGTAAAAGCAATTACATAATTAAAAGCTTATTCATAAATTATCTTAAATCCATGTTTTCAAAAAATAAAGATCACATAACAATTATACAAAACTAATGCCCATAAAAGAAAAATTTTACGCTTATTTTTTAAAAATCTATGATTAAAACAGTTTTTGAGATAAACTCTTCTTTCACGAAATTGCTCAATAAACAGCTCACCAGTAATTGTGACGGAATACGTCCATTGAATGATATAACTATCACCAGAATAAAATTGACCAACAGATAATCCGTCTAAAAGCGTATGCGAAAATTCATCGATATGCCACACCATAACGCTCGTTGTAATAACGACATATTCTTTCTTCAACTAAAATCAAATCGAAAGAAATTATCGATCGTTAGATTCGCGGATATTTATTGTGAAAGAGTTGCTTTCTTTTAGATGAAAATGCATTGAAAGCAATAGTTGTGAGTTTTTTTGATAAATATAATTATTTTGAAACTAATATATCTCGTTTTTACTAATATATTAGACGCAAATACTTTTTGCTAATAAAAAAAGAATTACTTCATTGTCATAACAACCAATGCCTCTGCCCAAGTGACAGCCTTCTAGAATAAAATCGACTGAAGAAGAGTTTGGTAGCCACATATCGTCATTTTCATCCGGATGCACAGTTATAGCACCGTCGATTTGTCGCGCATTATCGTTTCGACCTCGCGTTTTTACCACACCGGTGACATTAGGCCAGTCGAGGAATTTCTCACGGAATAATATCGTTTCGACGTGTTGTGTCAATTTGGCAAGTAAACACCATTCGGGTCTGCTTTTGGCGAATTTTGCGGGACTCGTACAAGAGTCACTGTTCCGATTACCAATCATATGGGCAGCATTAATTGGACAAGCG